GTCCCACCTATGAGATGATGAATCTGCTGCACTGGTAGGCTGAGGGGGCTGGCAACTGTAATTGTTATAGTCACCCTAGTAGTAATTGTTTTCTAGAGAGAAACTGTGGTAAATATGGTACTATATATTTTGAAATATATTATAAAAAATAATAATGCAAGCTTGAGAGGTGCAGTAACCCAAAGGAGTGAGTGTGATGAGTGCAGTGACGTTGCAGGCCTGTGAGAGTGCTGTGCAGCCACCCTAGACCAGCCAGCCCTGTGCCTGCAGGTGTTTGCCTCGGGTCCCTGCCCTTAGGAAGTCTGAGAACACCGGCAAATGAAGGCAGAGTCCCTAGCAGGCAGAATTACCCCATGGGAACCTGCTAGAGGAGAACAGCTTTTTTAGACCCGATGAACTGCTGAATAGCATGTGTGTGTTACGGGTGGGGGTGGAGTAGTGAGTGCCTTAGATTAATATTTCCAGGAATGTGTGCTAAAAATAGATTCTAGCAGGCTTAGTCTTTTATTTCAGTTTCCTCCCATTCAGAAAGTTGTTTTTATATCCTTCATTTTCCTATACAAGAGCTTCTTGATAATTTGGAAGCTGAGACAGAACTGTGAAGGATGCCACAATTGTTTCCAGTTGTTTCATTTCAAAACTGTGAAAATGTAGGAAGTAAAGCGATGAGGCAGCAACTGTTTAGTAATTAAAGATAAGTTATGAAATGGTCGTAAGGATAACAATGGAAAATGTTATGCAGACTGCCCAGTTTTATGGAAAATATAGACTTGTTCATTTGTACACACATAAATTAATCCTATAACAATAAAATAACAAAATGCTCTGGCTTTTTACTGTAGAGCCTGCTGTTCTTGTGTAACGTGGTAAATATCTTAAAAGCAATTTTCTATTAAATTACACATTTTTTAAAAACAAACACATTGCATTGTAAAATTTGCCAGCTGTATTAATAATTGTCTGATCCTATCAAACATAAAAATTGATGTTTTGGAGCAATTCTTCAATTACCTTTAAGAACTATTTTTTCTTAATTTTCGTTGCTTTCTGAGTTTTTATTGTACTTATGTAAGCTATTACTAAACAGCAGTGGGAGTTTTTTTGTGTTGTTTTTTTTTTGAATCACGTCTCTAATAATGTTTAAGATGGTACTGTTTCTGAGGTTTTTCTCTTTGTGTTTCAAAAAGAAACCATATAAAAGCTGTTTTAAAACCCATCTTATTTTTTGGGTGCCAAGTTAAGTGACAGGCATCTGCTGCTTCTCACTCACAGATAACAGCAATACAGTAAAAGGGAGCGTGCTTTTTTGTTCAAAGAACATTTAACAGTATGTTTTTCATCCATTTCACATCAGGCATATCACCACCAATAAACGGAGCAATAACAACAACAAAAATAAGTTTGGTTCTACTTTCAATTGGTATTAAAATTCAAGACACCGATGAGAAAGCTCTTTGTGCTCCCAAGGCCAGGACAGGGTCCTGAACACTTCCTCGGCGCCTACTGATAGTAAGAAGACGGTAAACTATTAACTTCCATATTTAAACAATACTAATGACTTTAAAGCACTAGCTAAGTCCTTGTGTTTCAGGGATGTGAGTAATTCCATTCCTTTAAGTGTATTTAATCAAAGCTCAATCTTGCCTTTTGCAGCCCCGCTAAGGTTATTGTTATTTAGTATGAATCAATAAATAAACTTTCAATAATCTTGGTAATCACATCCAAAAATAGTCTGAGAATCAAAAAGCAATCGTGTTTCCCATAATTGTTCCAAATAGATAATGTTGATAGGATCTTTGCTTAATTTCTGATGAAACAGAAATCTTATGAAATTTAATTTGTTTTGCCAGAGCCTAAGCAAAAAGGCCCAGTGAAATAGCCAACCTACTTGATTTAAACTTTATATTCCTGTCTCTTATAGGGATTATACCTTACCAAGATCACTTTATGCATATTGGTATAAATGGTTAATTTACAAGGAAAAAAATTTAAGCCAGTACAGGCGGAAGGCTGCCCATCGTTTTTGTTTTGTTTTGTTTTTAATAATTATTCTAAATCTAAAGCTAAAGAAGTGTTATTTTGTTTTTTACAATGAGCATTTTAAATATCAATTTTGTTATGTATATGTGTTAACTCTTGATAACAACGGCTTACCTCAGCTCACTGAAAGGAAACCAGGCCCTTTAACATGCGTGTTGTGTTGTGTTTGTGTGGTGTGGTGTGGTGTGGTGTTGTGGTGCACTTGTAGTAAATCCCATTGCCTGTGACTCCTAAATTATTTTCTGAAACCTTGTTTCAAGACATTTATTTAAATGTTTATTCTGTATCAGTCTAATCAAATTCTTACTCATAGCATATGTGTATTCTTATGTTCTCAACACTGTATTTTGATAGTCTTAACGAAAAAAAAAATCCTAATAGAAATTCCCTGGAAATAATTTACAGGACTAATGAATTTGTAGGTCTTTTAGACAGCTCTCCATTACAGGCACATTAATATTCTCTCCTTCTTATAAGGCTTGAAGTAAATCCCACGACACTAGAAGAATTTAGATACTGATTACTTGCGATTGGTTCCTGGTGATTTGCTCTTAATAATTTCCAGTTGAATTTAATGAAAGTATGATTCCTGAAATGCTGCTTCATTAAAATTGCATCTTTTCCCCTTTAAGTATGGTTTCGATCATTTCACCCATTTTGTGGTATGTTTTCCTCCCCCTTAAGAAATAACGATTAAGAAAACAGAAACAATTAAGAATATCACTTTAGTTCTTCCTAGAACTCACACCGAGTTTCTCAGAGTGAAATGATACAAGGTGTATTTCACCCAGATTTACAATGTATTTATTTATTATTTTACTTTATTATTTTTGCAATTTGATGAGATTGTTTCTAAAAGACAGACTTTGAAAAGCAGGAAAGTGAAGAAGGAATCTGTTGCATGTACAAGAGCTCTTTAGTAGCAAGGCCTTTAGTATTTTTACTAAAAAAAAAAAAAATGGTAAAGCTTGATTAAGTTATGCTGTGCAGCTTTCGGACTTAATTTAACTGAGATGGTGATTTGCAAATGAATGTCTACATGGATCCTTTTAAAAAATCCAAATGCAAATGAGTACAACTGTAGTAAAATATATTTGCAAATGAATCCTGTTGCTTTATTCATTTATTGTGTAATTACTGCAATCCTTCCTACCTTGTTTTCAGTATTTTTTAATCATTAAGTTGGAAGCATGACAGCAGTGCCAGCCCTGGCATGATTCTCTTTGACTAAAACCTTGTAAATTAACACAATTAGCACAGCATCATCCCGCTAATTAACTTCCAGTGTCTGGTGCAATGGTTTTGCAAACAAGGAAGAGGGAGTCAGAAGGGAATCAACATGCCATTCTGTTACCAAACTCTGTGCCATGTTCAGATTTGCTCAGTAAGTCAAAGCTGGCTGTGTCAGAAGCCAGTCAGGCAATGAAGGGCTAAAGGGTTTGGAGGAAGAAAGCAGAGGCGGGTAGGAGCTGTCAAAATAGACTGGGGAATTCAGAGGAGAGCTGATGCCACAGTAGCTTCATTTAGACCAGGCCTCCTTCTTATCAAGGAATCTCTGCCAGAGGGCACAAGACAGTTTGCAAAATTCACTTTGGGTCATACAAAGGAGATTAAGGAGGCCTGCTTAATACAGCTGAAGCAGACTAGCAAGTGTTCCAAGGAAGCAGAGATTAGGATGGGATGAGCCGGCCCTGGGAAATAGAACAGGGTTCCAGCGCTCTTCTGTCACTAACTGCATGTGAGGCCTCAAGGGTGCATTATGAATCCCTTTGGGTGTGAGGAGGTAATTTCTAAGGTCTCTTTTAAACTGTAAAATTCAAAATGATTCTGACTCGAACTGCTTAGCATTTTCTTTTCAGTGAGAAAATACTCTTGTTTTATACTTGAATACATAGTCACCTTGCTTCAGTTAGTAATCTAACAGATGCTACAATTACCCATAGCAATCCATTACAGAGTTGTACTATTCCAGTGTCTGCCACACACTGCTTCCCATGGAAATATAGAGTGAGACTCCTGATTCTCTTATTCTCTCTCTAATCTTATCTTCCTGTTCACCTCTCTCCCTAGAGAGAGAGACAGAGAATCTTCTCTCCTCTTAGTAGCTTGGAGGCTCTAAGGCAGAGAGAAGGATTATAAGGGAAGGAGGGAGGATGCTAGCTAGAAGACCGGCAGACAAGTGATGCCTATATCTTTTTTTCAGGGGCTCAACAACAGGACTGAGAGGCAGAAAGGAGCCAGTTGTAATTCATACCGAGTTGTGGGCTTTGTGCGATGAAAGCGATGGAGCGCTGCCTGGGAGATTGCTTTGCTGCACTCCACGGAACAGATTTGAAACTGTCGTGGGCCACTTTAGATGAGAGTTGGATTATGGAATGACCTGCTCTGTCTGTGTCATATTGTTCTGTGCAGGGAGCATTATACTGTGCTAACTAGGTGTTCAGTACCAAATAAGAGGGGTATCCTAGATGTGATCTGTCAGCTGTGTCTCATTTTTATATTGGCTAAAATATAAAACAGAAACTGTGATGTGGAAGAGACAGAATAGCTAGATGTCGCACATTAATACAATCACTTGCTAGATATTTAAAATGTATGCATATTTTATTGTAAGAACCTAGGGTTGAATTCTAACTTGGCAGAAATGTGTGTGTACATATATATGTGTTTCTGTGTACCGAGTGACTTAATAGGCTTACCAGAAATACATTTGCTTGTGAGTTAAAAATGGGGAAAAAATTTAGGTCTTCTATAGAGTTTTCATTTGAATTCAGTTTATTTTTTTATACAGGGCTGAAATTCAATCCAATTTAAAGTATGCATGTTATAGAGATCATGACAGATACTATAAACTGGGGGAATATTTTATAATGTTGATATTATTGGTAGAAAATAATAGGTAACAAAAGAAGTTCTGATGAGTATCTAAGTAACAACTTTCCCCCCACCCCCATCCTTAGGCTTGAAGATGCAGTGGACGCCGGAGCATGCCCAGTGGCCAGAACAGCACTTTGACATCACCTCGACCACTCGGTCTCCTGCCCACAAAGTCGAAGCCTACAGAGGTCACCTGCAGCGCACCTATCAGTACGCCTGGGCGAACGACGACATCTCTGCTCTGACTGCATCCAACCTGCTAAAGAAATATGCAGAGAAGTATTCTGGCATTTTGGAGAGCCCTGTGGACCGACCTGTGCTCAGCAACTACTCAGACACCCCGTCAGGACTCGTGAATGGCCGGAAAAATGAAAACGAGCCCTGGCAGCCGTCCTTGAATTCAGAAGCCGTTTATCCCATGAACTGTGTCCCGGATGTCATCACTGCCAGCAAAGCTGGAGTCAGTTCAGCCCTCCCTCCAGCAGATGTCTCTGCAAGTATAGGGAGCTCTCCTGGGGTGGCCAGCAACCTGACAGAACCCAGTTACTCCAGTAGTACCTGTGGAAGCCACACTGTACCTAGTCTTCATGCAGGGCTCCCATCTCAGGAATATGCCCCGGGATACAACGGATCTTATCTGCATTCTACGTACAGTGGCCAACCAGCACCCGCACTTCCCTCGCCTCATCCATCTCCTTTGCATAGTTCTGGGCTCCTGCAGCCACCACCACCCCCTCCTCCGCCACCAGCCCTGGTCCCAGGCTACAATGGGACTTCTAACCTCTCCAGTTATAGCTATCCCTCTGCGAGCTATCCCCCTCAGACTGCGGTGGGCTCTGGTTATAGCCCTGGGGGGGCACCCCCTCCTCCTTCAGCGTACCTGCCTTCAGGAATTCCTGCTCCCACCCCTCTGCCCCCTACCACTGTTCCTGGCTACACCTACCAGGGTCACGGTCTGACACCTATCGCACCCTCGGCCCTGACAAACAGTTCGGCGAGTTCTCTCAAAAGAAAAGCTTTCTATATGGCAGGGCAGGGCGATATGGACTCCAGTTATGGAAATTACAGCTATGGCCAACAGAGATCGACGCAGAGTCCTATGTACAGAATGCCCGACAACAGCATTTCAAACTCAAATCGGGGGAATGGCTTTGACAGAAGTGCTGAAGCATCATCCTTGGCATTTAAGCCAACGAAGCAGCTCATGTCCTCCGAACAGCAGAGGAAATTCAGCAGCCAGTCCAGCAGGGCCCTGACCCCGCCTTCCTACAGTACTGCTAAAAACTCCCTGGGCTCGAGATCCAGCGAACCCTTTGGGAAGTACACGTCGCCAGTTATGAGTGAGCATGGGGACGAGCACAGGCAGCTCCTCTCGCACCCCATGCCAGGCCCTGGGCTCCGTGCAGCTACCTCATCCAACCACTCTGTGGACGAGCAACTGAAGAATACTGACACGCACCTCATTGACCTGGTCACCAACGAGATCATCACCCAAGGGCCACCAGTGGACTGGGGTGACATTGCTGGTCTGGACCTGGTCAAGGCCGTCATTAAAGAGGAGGTTTTATGGCCAGTGCTGAGGTCCGATGCCTTCAGTGGACTGACGGCCTTACCTCGGAGCATCCTTTTATTCGGACCTCGAGGAACAGGCAAAACATTATTGGGCAGATGCATCGCTAGTCAGCTGGGGGCCACGTTCTTCAAAATCGCCGGTTCTGGACTCGTGGCCAAGTGGCTAGGAGAAGCGGAGAAAATTATCCATGCCTCTTTCCTTGTGGCCAGGTGCCGCCAGCCCTCCGTGATCTTTGTCAGTGACATTGACCTGCTTCTCTCCTCTCAAGTGAGTGAGGAGCACAGTCCAGTCAGTCGGATGAGAACCGAATTTCTGATGCAGCTGGACACTGTACTAACTTCGGCCGAGGACCAAATCGTAGTAATTTGTGCCACCAGTAAACCCGAGGAAATAGATGAATCTCTTCGGAGGTACTTCATGAAACGACTTTTAATCCCACTTCCTGACAGCACAGCGAGGCACCAGATAATAGTACAACTGCTCTCACAGCACAATTACTGTCTCAACGAAAAGGAGTTTGCACTGCTCGCCCAGCGCACAGAAGGCTTTTCTGGACTCGACGTGGCTCATTTGTGTCAGGAAGCGGCGGTGGGCCCCCTCCACGCCATGCCGGCCACAGACCTTTCAGCCATCATGCCCAGCCAGTTGAGGCCCGTTACATATCAAGACTTTGAAAATGCTTTCTGCAAGATCCAGCCTAGCATATCTCAAAAAGAGCTTGATATGTATGTTGAATGGAACAAAATGTTTGGTTGCAGTCAGTGATAACGTCTTTTAAAAAGTGTAACGAATGTTGGCACACACACATCAAACCTGCTACATAGGGTATAGAGCCCCTTTCCAGTAGTGTTTAAATTGCAGAGGGTACTGGGGAAGATGATGATTAAGTGGCATCTTTAGAGTCAGGGTAGATTTGGAGGGGAAAAAATGCATCGAACGAGAGCATCCGATTTGCAAGCCCCAGATGACAGAGAGCATCTGTGGATGCTCAGTTCGGCTCACGCTAGACAACACTCACCAAGGAGCAAGGTGCAAGTGTGTTGACTTCGGAAGGACATGAACCTCGTGTGTTGATTCCATTCTGCTGTTCTCGAGATTTAGTTGCTGTCAAGTGCCTGGAGTGGTGCTTTATTTTTTTGTTTGCCTCACAATTACATTGGTGGCATGTGCTAATATAAAGAGCTTTAACTTCAAACATTAGTGGACTAAAGAGATGAACGCTTGTGTTATGACAGAAAACCAGATTTTTGCCATTTTAAGAGCAACAGTATTCCTCAATCCTGTCTGTTCTGCGGTATTAAGCTAAGAACAGGTAAAACAGGGTAACGGTAATCTGGACCTTAATTTCTGCAGTTCATTTCTTTTAATGTTCTTGTCTGCAAAAACTCAGGAAAGCGATTGTGATTTGTACAGTACCTCAAAGGAATGTGTTGAAAGCACTATGTACTGCTGAGAGTAATGGATAGGCTTCAATGTTACTTTATATTAAAATGTATGTTTACCTCAACGATTGGAAAAGAGCAAGGAAAATTACTTTGAATGTATCCAGAAAAATAGTGAAGTGTGATACAACTGAATATTTACAATTTAAAGTAGAAATGGAAGGATTTTTTTTTTTAAAAAAAGCTTCTTTTACTAATTATGGGGAATTAACCAGAGCAGAGTCATTCTTTATGTCAGTCACTGCAAGAGTTCTTCGTACATTGCTCCTTGATAATGAAGTGAAAATGTTCTTAAAAGTTACACTGGTTAATGGAAAGCTCCTTACTCCGTTTGTGTTAGCGTCTAGGACAGTCAGCCACGAAACCTGTGTAGGACCCTGAAAGTCACAGCACCTAAAGACTAGGACTGCATTTTACTGCATAGGTGGGAGTGGTGGTGGTTTGCAAGTTCTCTCTTAAAACTGCTGGGAACGGTGTCATTCTATTCACTAATCTAGCTTGTAGGCTTGCCGTGCTGTTTAACAGAATGCAAAGATAGCAACCAAATCAAGCAAATAACTAACTGAATAACTACAAAACACAACCGACCAACTTACATATATATATATATATCCACAAAGAGCGTCTACATCCCCTCTCCTTCTTCTTGACTCCTCTCTTGTCAGTGCGATTTTGCTTCTCATTTTAAACTCTTCTGGGCTGTAGCGTCCCCACAGCGTTCATTTCTACCTCAGTTTTGTTACATTTCTCTCGGAAATTAAAGTAGAAAATTAGAAGTGGACACATACACAGGCACACACACATACACTCTATAGCTTGCCAAACATGTTGCTTTGTTTTCTCCCATCTTTTCCCATAAATCTAGTTTCCAAGTACATCAGTCTTCCTGCTTATGTCTACCTGATTCTAGCTCCCACCCCAATAGCATATGTGGCATTTTTCATCATTTCGCATTCCTCTCCTGCTTCCCACCAAGTTGTTCTTTGTCTTCCTCTGTGCTTTCTGTGCAACTTCTCACTGGTAGCTGACGCCCGGCAATGCCTCCGAACAGACACAATGTAGGCTGCAGCTGTCCAAAGCCACTGCCCATGCATAAGCAGACAGCCTGGCTTTTTGAATGTATTTTTCCTTTTTTTTTTTTTTCTTCTTTCATTTTTTAGTCAAGAGATGCAGTAACAAAACTGTTGCAAAGCACTGGCATTTTATGTATTCCAAAAGTGATGTACATTTTTTAAAACTTTAAATAAATGCAATGGGAAGCCCCAAGAAAGTTCTTTCTGTTTTTGTTTTTGTTTGCCCTTCAAATATTTTTACTGATTTCATCCCCAATGTCAAATTCTCTGAAACACAGCATAGAGAAAGCTAATGAGAACGTCACGATATTTCTGAAATTTTATGATGTTTGATCCATTACTCCTTGTTTTTATTATTCTCATATTTCTAAAAGCTGAGCAAATGAACCAGAATTTAATTTACTGTGATATTCCAGGAATTAAAACTGTGCTTAAATATAAGTATTCCACATTAAAAAGCAGTGCCTTTCATTAAGGATATAAAATACACCCTCTGCTTTTCACAAGTGAATAAATGCTACAATCGTATTCTGGCTCTACCCTGCACAGCCCTTATTGTAAGGAAATTCTGATATCCCCATTAACTTGTAGGTTCATATTGATCTCACTGACAAGTTTACTTTTGTACAGTACTGGCCTATTTTCTGTCTTTTAGACACTACATTTCATTTCCACCAACATGCTGTGTTCACTTGAAAGCAACCAGCAAGTTTTGATAAATCCAGTCTTACTTAGACAACTTTGGAAAATCCAATATTGATCCATATTTTTTGTGGCTAGTAAGAGTTAATGCCAAATATATGACTGCAGTGTTATGTTTTACATGCATTTACAAAACTGAAAATGAAGTCAGACATACTGGCTTTGAGCTTTAAGTGACTTAATAATTACTTTGAGATATCAGTGGTCAAAAATCCATGTATTTAGGCAGAAGCTGAATTCATGTGTGAATTTCATTTAGCCTCCCGAATTCTAGGATTTGAGTTTGTAAGAAATTGGGTATGCTGAAGAAATGAAGATCTTTTGGGGGAGATAAGGCTGACTTTTGAGTAGATAGTGCTGTCCTGTGATTCTTTGATTCTACATGACAGCATTATGAGCTCTTCTATGGACTAGCCTAATAATGAGCTCTTTTCCGACTATCCCTTCTGGAGCATGGTGTAGGGGATGGGGACCGCATCCTCAGTAGTGAATGTGCACAATCAATGATAGTACAACTGAGTAACGGGCTCCATACTCTTGGCCTCTTTTTGACTGCTAAGAATTTGGAGAAGGCTCCTAATGAAGGTAAGGAGTTAATGAGCCAGTCTAAATCCCTTCCCTTCTGGCTAAGGGATTTGAGCCCTTTCACTTAGCCCCTAATTCTCTTCTTCACAACTGCAATAACATTTCCAACTGGGACAAAAAGGAAGTGAAGGAAACCACTTCAGAAGGATCAATAGAAATTCAAGAGGTAGTTCATAATAACCTTATGTGTGACACAAATGGAAATACTCTACACTTCTGGCATGCTTCTCACCAAAATATTTAGAACATTAGTGACAATATGGAAAACTGTGCTGACTGAGCTGATCAATGGAATGTGAAGGCAGTATACTTTAAGGCTATTTACTTTCACACTGAATGTTTATCTATTAGTCAGTTTGTATTCTACTCAAATGCAGATAGACGGGTATAATGTTTCCTTGTGCATTTGAAACCTATCATGGAGAAAATAAACCATTCCACTAAAATACATAGGCCAAACACCATCTGGGCGAGTGATAAAAGTTATCCAGAGGCTATGCTATGTAAAATAGCAAGGTCAATCTACATTGGTTGCATAGTACTTGGCTATGCAGTTTTCAAAAACACTACATCCAAAAGAGTTGAAATTAATTCCTACAAGAGGTCTTTGTAAATTTAAACATATTTGTGGGTTGGAAAACATGTTTTAGAGGCATTTATAATTTCTCTGAAAATGTGTCTAACTCCAAGCAGGAAGATAATGCTATAATCCCATTCTCGTGTTTCTTAACAAGAACTGGGTATCGTGATCAGTGAAAATGTATTTTGCAAAGTGAAAGGGACACAGTTGGTTGAACTATTGAGGCCACTAGAGTAAAGTTCTAATATATATACATATATATATATACATATAAAATCGGTGTGTTTGTGTGTGCGTGTGTGTGTGTGCCGTTTTCACCACCACCTATTCGAACTTTAAACTAACATCTATTTTACATTATTCAGAAGGAACTGTTTACTCCCTTTCTTCTTCATATGCACAGAGATAGACATGGCCACCTTACAATTTACAGTGTTTTAATACGTTATTTTTCTTTTGAAAAGTAAAGCTTTTGGTTGTTGAGTCACCTGCCGGTTTTCATATGAAGCACATTAGCAAACATGGAGCTATTAGTGTTTCAGAATTCAAAATCAGCTGCACTTGTGACTAACCCACACACGAACCGAATCTCACACTCTGCTAAGACCTCTGGTTGACATTCGATTTTGAACCTGCCAGATGCATTTGTGTGAACCAGGGATACTGCATCTTTAATGAACAAGTCTCTCCTCTTTCCCGTGTTTTTAAATACTAC